ACTGCGGCATGGGGCGATTGCTTGCAGGGGCAGGTAGAATGGTGAGGAACAGGAGTGGGTCGCGGCGACGGGGTATAAGATGTGCGGGTGCGGGAGGGGTGCTGAGACCGGAAGATGATGATGATGATGATGATGATGATGATGATGATGATGATGATGATGATGATGATGATGATGATGATGATGATGACGATGATGATGATGATGATGATGATGATGATGATGATGATGATGATGATGATGATGATGATGATGATGATGATGATGATGATGATGATGATGATGATGATGATGATGATGATGATGATGATGATGATGATGATGATGATGATGATGATGATGATGATGATGCAAGCATGATGGTGATAAGGGGGAAGGAGGACGGGCAGAAGGAGGAGGCGCGGTTCCGTTGATGGAGAGCGCCGGTGTCGGACAGTTGGTGTCCCTGGACATCTCAGAAAGCGTGTGAGACTTGGTCGGGCAACCTCGTCCTCGTCATCTCTCTCTCCTCCCCTTTGTCCTCTTCTTCAGTGTTTTCGTTCTCCTCCTCGCCCCTGTTTTCCTGCTCCTCTTCCCCTTGCTTGACGTCCTGGTCCGTTCTACCGGTGTCGGACAGTGGGGGCGCTGGACAGCCTGGTAAGGGTATGGGACTTGGTCGGGTAACCTCGTCCTCGCCTTCTCCTCCCCATTTGGTCCTCTTCCTCCTCGTCTTTCTTCTCCTCCTCGTCCCTGCCGCCTGCTTCCCAAATAGGCTTTGCTTGAGGGGTTCGCTTGTTTCCTAATCAGTGCTTGCACTTAGGGTGCTTACAGTGCCGTTTTTAATACATGCTCCGCGTGCGGATTATGTATGACAAATGCAGGGATTTAGTATTAAAAACAACGATGAGTTCATGCATAAATTTACTCACAAATTAATCATGTATTAAAAAGTCCCATACTTTTCAAAATCCTATGTATTGAAAACTGCCCTGTAGGGTGCTTATTTGCTTTCTAAAGGGCTGTGCCCGCGTGCTGGCCTGGCGGCTCCGTGACCGCCGTCGCCGCCCCGTCGCCGCCTCGTCGCCGCCGCGCTCTACACTGCCATCGCGTGTTGCGTTGCTTTGCATTGCCATCGCTTTGCATTGCGTTGCTTTGCATTGCCATCGCATTGCGTTGCATTGCATTGTGTTGTGTTACAATCGCGTGTTGCGTGGCTTTGCATTGCCATCGCATTGCATTGCATTGCATTGCCATCGCATTGCGTTGCATTGTATTTCATTGTATTGCCATCGTATTGTATCGCATTGCTTTGCATTGCCATCGTATTGTATTGCAGTGGTTTGCATTGCATCGCCGTCGCACTGCATAGCATTGCTTTCAATTTCCATCGCGTTGCATTGCATTGCTCTGCGTTGCCATCGCATTGTAATGCATTCGGTTGCATTGCCATCGCATCGGATCTCATCGCATGGCATTGAATTTCATTGCATTGTATTGCATTGCTCTGCATCGCATTGCCATTGCATTATGTCGCATTGTATTGCATTGTCATCGCATTGGATTGCATGTCTTTGCGTAGCCATCGAATTGTATTACATTACGTTGCATTACAACGCAGTGCATTGTATTGCATTGCATTACCACCGCGTTGCATTTCATGGTTTTGCAATGCCATCGCATTGTATCGCATTGCTTTGCGTTGCCATTGCATTTTTTGCATTGCATTTCATTGCATTGCTTTGCATTGCATTGCCTTGGATTGTCATCGCATTGTATTGCATTGCTCTGCATTGCATTGCATTGCATTGCATTGCATTGCATTGCATTGCATTGCATTGCATTGCATTGCATTGCATTGCATTGCCATCGCATTGAATTGTATTGCTATGCTTTGTCATCGCATTGTATTACATTTCGCTTTATTTCCATCGCATCGTATTGTATTGCATTGCACTTCATTGGATTTGTTTGCATTGCATAGTATTGCGTTGCATTGCATTGCATGACATTGCATTGCCATTGCATTGTACTGCATTGCTTTGAATTGCCATCGCACTGCGTTGCTGTGCGTTGCATTGCATTGCATTGCATTGCCATCGCATTGCCATCTCGTTGCCATGGCATTGCATTACATTGCAGTGCATTGACGTTGCATTGTACTGCATTGCTTTGCATTGCCATTGCATTGCATTTCATTGCATTGCTTTGCATTGCATTGCATCGCATTTTCATCGTATCGTCTTGCATGTCTTTGCCAGGCCATCGCATTGTTTTGCATTGCTTTCTATTGCCATCGCAATGTATTGCCATCCAATTCTATTGCATTGCTTTGCCTTGCTTTGCATTGCATTGCATTTCTTTGCATTGCTTTGCATTGCCTTGCATAGCCATCCAACTGTATTGCAATGCGTTGCATCGCTTTGCATTGCACAGCATTGCATTGACGCGATCCATTGCTTTGCATTGCTTTGCATTGCATTGCATTGCGTTGCGTTGCATTTCATTGCGTTGCATTGCATTGCATTGCCATCGCATTGTATTTCATCGCTCTGCTTTACGTAGCATTGTAATCGCATTGTATTGCATTGCTTTGCTTTGCGTTGCATTGCACTGCATTGCTTTGCTTTGCATTGCATTGCATTGCCATCGCATTGTATTTCATTGCTTTGCATTGCCATCGCATTGCGTTGCATTGCATTGCCATCGCATTGGATTGCATGTCTTTGCGTTACCATCGCATTGTATTACATTGTATTGCATTGCATTGCATTGTATTGTATTGCATTGCATTACCATCGCATTGCATTGTATTGCTTTGCATTGCTATCGTATGGTATTGCATCGCATTGCGTTGCCATCGCATGGTGTTGCGTTGCTTCGCTTTGCATTGCAATGCATTGCAGTGCCATCGCATTGTAGTGCATTGCTTTGTTTTGCCATCGCATTGCGTTGCATTGCTGTGCTTTGTCATGCATTGCATTGCATTGCCATCGCGTTGTTTTGCCTTGCTTTACATTGCCATCGCACTGTGTTGCATTGCTCTGCATTGCCATCGCATTGTACTGCATTGCATTGCATTGCTTTGCTTTGCATTGCGTTGCATTTCATTGCATTGCCATCGCATTGTATTTCATTGCTTTGCATTGCATGTCTTTGCATTGCATTGCATCGCACTGTCATAGCATTGTTTTGCCGTTCCTTGCATTGCCATCGCATCGTATTGCATTGCTTTGCAGTGGCATCGATTTGACGAGTATTGCAGGGCATTGCGTTACATTGCATTGTTATCGCATTGTACTGCATTGCATTGCATCGGCATCGCATCGCAATGCATTGCATTGCATTGCATTGCATTGCATTGCCATCGCATCGTACTGCATTGCTTTTCATTGCATTTCTTTGTAGTGCATTGCGCCGCATTGGCATCGCATTGGTTTGCACGTTTTGGAATGCCGTCGCACTGCATTGCATTGCGTTGCACTGCCATCGCATTGTATTGCATTGCGTTGCATTGCTTTGCCTTGCACATCATCGCATAACACTGCATTGCATTTCACTGCATTGCGCTGCCATCGCATAGCTTTGATTTGCATTGCCATTGTATTGCCATTGCATTGCCATTGCATTGCCATTGCATTGCATTGCATTGCATTGCCTGGCATTGTATGGCATTGCCATCGCATCGTATTGCATCGCATTGCGTTGCCATTGCATTGTTTTGCATTGTATTGATTTGTTTTGCTTTGCATTGCATTGCAATGCATTGCACTGCCATCGCAGTTGTATTGCATTGCATTGCATTGCATTGACATTGCATTGCTTTGCATTTGCATCGCATTGTGTTGCTTGTATTTGCATTGCCTTGCATTGCGTTGCCTTGTATTATATTGTATTGCGTTGCGCTGTATTGCATTGCGTTGCCTTTGCTTTGCATTACCATCGCATTGTGTTGCATTGCATTTTGTTTTGCTTTGCATTGCGTTGCATTGGAACTCATTGAATAGCATTGCATTTCATTGAATGCCATTAGTTTGCATCGCCTTGCATTGCATTGCATTGCGTTGCATTGCATTGACATCTCATTGTGCTGCATTGTTTTGCATTGCATTGCGTTGCGTTGCTTTGCATGGCATTGCATCGCATTGTATTGCATTGAACAGCATGTATTAGTATTGCATTCCATTGAACATAGTGGCTTTGCATTGCTCTGTAATACTTTCCAATGCGTTTCATTGCATTGTATTGCTTGCATTGCATGGCCATTGCATTGTACTACGCTGCTCTGAATTGCTTTGCTTTGCATTGCATTGCATTTCAAAGCATTGAATCGCATTTCATTTCATCTCATTGCATTGCATTGCATTGCATTGCATTGCATCGCTTTGCATTGCATTCTTTGCATTGCATTGCATTGCACTGCATTGCCATCGCATTGTGTTGCAAAGCTTTGCTTTGCTTTGCATTGCATTTCATTGAAAAGCATTGAACAGCATTGCATTTCATTGATTAGAATTGCATTGCATTGCATTGCGTTGCTTTGCGTTGCTTTGCTTTGCATTGCATTGCATGGAGGATCATTAGATAGCATTGCAGTTTATTGAGGAGTATTGCATTGCAGTGCTTTGCATTGCAGTGCTTTGCATTGCACTTCATTGAAAAGCATTGAATAGGAATGCCTTTCATTGAATAGCATTGCGTTTCATTGCTTTGTTTTGCATTGCATTGCATTGCGTTGCGATGGATTGCATTGCATTGCCATCGCATTGTGTTGCATTGCTTGGAACTGACTTGCTTTTTATTGCCTGGCATTGCATTGCATTGCTTTTTCATTGCATTGCATTGCATTGCATTGCGTTGCGTTGCAGTGCATTTCATTGAATAGAATTGCATTGCAGTGTTTTGTTTTGCATTGCATTGCCATCGGATTGTGCTGCATTTCTTCGCATTGCTTCGCTTTGCTTTGCATTGCATTGCATGGCATTGCATTGTGTTGCGTTGCGTTGCTTTGCTTTGCATTGTATTGCATTGCATTTAGAAGAATTGAATACCATTGCGTTTCATTGAATAGCATTACGTTCCATTGCTCTGTGTTGCATTCCATTGAATAGCATTGCATTGCATTGCCATACATTGCCATTGCGTTACATTGCACTGCCTTGCATTGCTTTGCATTGTTTCGCATCGCTTTGCATTGCGTCGCATTCCTTTGCACTGCACTGCGTTGCGTTGCATTGCGCTGAAAAGCATTGAATAAATAGCCCTGCGTGCCATCGAACAGCACTGCGTGGCATTGCCTTGCACCGCATCGCCTCGCATCGCCTCGCATTGCACTGCGTCGCATCGCATTGCATTGCAGCGCTTGGCTTTGCAGCGCATGGCCATCGCACTGTCATCGCACTGGGGGCGCGCGCGCGGGCAGGCGAGACCACGCGTCGGCGGCGCCTGCGCGCGGCGCGGCGCCCCGTGGCCGAGCACGGCAGCGCACTTCGTCGACCGCGGTGATGCCGCGGCCGCGGGGCTTTGAGGCCGTCGGCGCCCAACCAGGTGTTCCGCGCGCTGACCTCCCAGAGATCCAACGCATCGGAGAAATCAAGACATTTTTTTCTTTGGTTATTATTATTGTTGTTGTTGTTGTTATTATTATGAATAATATTTTTAGTATTATAAGTATTATTGTTATTATTGTTGTTGTTATTAAATAGTAATACATATTTGTGTATATATATATATATTCGGCCTCTAGAGGCCCTCGCCGGGCCCCGGGACTGTCAAAATACGACGCAGGATGAAAATCCGGTCCTGGGGAATGGGTCGAGACTTCCTGGGACCCCGTATTGAAAAAATCACGACGTCGGATCTCTGGGCTGGACCGAGGCTTCGACACGTGGGCGTCAGGCTCTCCGCGCGGCCCGAGGCCTGGCAGGTCGTCGCGAAGGTGGCACTGCTCCTCGGTGCTGCGTCGCGAAGCATTTGCGCGGGGTGGCGTGGCTGCGCCTCGTCAAGGTCTGGGCCGCGCTGCGCTGCGGCGCCTCGGCTGGGTCCCGCCTCAACGTTTCGCCTTCGTGGGCGGAGGCCTGTCGGCGACGCTGTGCCATGCGAGGACCAGCGGCGAAGGGGTTGTGCCCCTCGATGGCAACGGGCGGGGCCCGGCGTGGATCGAGACGGGCTTCGCGAGGTGGCGGGACATCGCGGACTTCTAGAGGTGGTGCTTTGTGCCGCGGCATGGCGATGCCGTCCATGGGGGTGGCCCGGAAGCTCGCTGGCTTCGCCGAGGTATAGCCAATAACAGTTTTCCCGTGGAGCAAGCCAAAAATACGCCGAGGCGGAAGCGGCGGGCTTGGAGGTGCTGTGGGGGATGCTGGCGTCAGCCTCAGCTGGAGAAGTCGCCGAGGCCCCAGCAGAGGTCATTCGCTTTTTGGGTGGGGCACTCGGAGAGAGCGACCCTCCCATCGGCCTTGGCGGCGATGGGGACGTCGAAGAGCGACCGGGACAACCTGGGATGGTGGTCGCCAGAGGGTGCGGACACCTCTGCGAGGACATGGTGCGCCTTCGTCTCCAGGCTCCAGCGCCAGTTCGCAGGGGCGCTGCGCTCTGGCGCGGCCTTCGTGGAGCTGGACGAACCAGCGTCCATCCTGGACTTGGCGAACTGATTGGTGGCGAGGGGGAATTTCACAAGGCGGGGGGGCGACGGACATGGCGAGAAGGACTTGCGAGGGCCTCCGCTGGGCCGCTGGGTGGGCGCAGTGCCGGCGGCGCCGCAGCCAGCGCCGCCGTCAGCAGGGTCGATGGCGAGGCGTTGGGCAGGGCGCCGTTGGGTTCGGTCTACTACGACGACCAGCACGACGTGGTCTGCCAGAGATGCGGGCGCCACATCGTGGATCCGAAAGCGAGGGCGAAGGTTCGGCGAGCTCGTCGAGCTCCGCAAGCTACGAGGGGGGGGGCCATCAGAAAGCAACCCAGTGAGGAGGACGCCAGCAGCGGTAGAGCTCCACCCGACCGTTCGGGACGGGAGCCGCGCCAGCGCGCGGCAGAGGGGCCGGGGGGGCCGCCGAGGAGGGCGTCTGTGGCGGCGAGACTCAGCTCGGCCCTTCGGGGCGGGGGCCGCGCCCGCGCGCTGGCGGGAGCGTCGGCCGCGGCGCAGACGAGGGAGTGGCCTGGACAGGCGCCCGCGCACTGCCTGCGCCGGGTGCGGATCAAGGGAGTCAGCGCTCGACGGAAAAGCCGTTTGCGCGCCATGTGGAGGTCGCCCCGAACCCCGTCGACTGGTTGGCCCCCCGCGGCGAAGGCGCCCGCCCCGTCCGCGGCCCAATCTCCGCTCCGTTTTGGGCGGGAAGGGGGGGGGGCAAGCGGGGGGGGGGGCGTCCTCCGCGCCGGGGTGGCAACCTATGGGTGGCGGGGGCTTTCGGGGCCGCGCAGTGCGCTCCCTCTCGCTTGGGCGGGCCTGCTGGATCGTCGCGCGATCCAGCATCCTTTGTCGCTCAAGCCACCTCGCCCGTTCTGGGCCGAGATCCGCTTGGTCTCGATCTGGCGGCCCACCCTCGGCCCGCCGTGTCGGGCGGGCTGCTCAGCGGCGCGCCGCTGCGGCAGCTCGCCGAGGAGGGCAGGCGCGCGCGCTCGCGTCGCCAGACGCAGACCGGAGCTTCCCCCTTGAAAAGCAGGACGTGCCGCTCGCAGTTGTGCCGCCATGGAGTGACGAGCCAGGGCGCTTTCTCAGCTCTGCTGCATTCAGACGACCATGTCAGGCCAGAGACCAGCTCAACCTCGACGCAGGGACTTGGGTCGAGAGCAGCGTGCAGGCGCGTGCGAGTGGCAGACGGCCTGCGCGAGGATCGAGCAAGACCAGAAGATGGGGGGCGAGTGCGGCGCCCGCCAGGTAATCGAGCCGCCGCGCGTCACCGACCGCCGGGCGACGGGGCCGGCCTTCGAGAAGGCGCACTTGAAGCGCAAGGTCGGCCAGATATTGGCAAGATCCCATCTCGAGGCCAGGCGGCCAGAGATCGAGCGCGGCGACGTCCGTGGAGAGGCGTCCACAGCGGTCTACTCAGCCGAGGAGGACGAAAAAGCCCAGCTTCCTGACGCCAGTGTTGTCCAGCCCAGGGGCGATGCCATTCAGGAAGGCGGCGGCCAGCGAGGTCGACCCGCAGGGTCTTGCGGCGCTGCAGAAGCGCGTCGGTCTGATGGGCAGGTGTATTCTCACGCTCGGCCGGTGCCGCCCCTGCAGGTAGGAGCTGCAGGGTTGCGGCCTGCGGCAGTTCCATGCGCATTTGCTGGAAACGCGCCTAGGGCCTCTCGGCCAGGGGCGCGGCGTTCGCGGGCCCGGGTGCTGCGGCGCGAGCAATTCATCCGCAGGAAGGCCCAGCGGCAAGCGCAGCGGGGCCGCGTGCCGTTCCGCGCGGCGCTCCGGCGGTCGGGCGACGATTCGGTGGTCGAGGAGCGCTGCTTCACGATTCCGCTGGCCCTCGCCAGCGCGGCGGTGCGCCCGCGGCCAGAGACACCGCGGCCGCGGCCGCGGCCGCCGGGGCCACCGGGCAGTCCGCAAGGAATGCGCGCGGGGGGGGGCGCGGGCAAGGGGGGCGGCCGCAGCGCGCGCTTGAACGCCAGCTTGGCCGGTCGGGCGCCGGACGGCGTGGGCGCGCGTTGCAGGTGCAATTCCATGGCGGCCAAAAGTGCGACCCAGAGAAATGCCGCTTCCTTCATGAGCGCCCTTTCTGCTTCGCGCAAGGCCACCCGCGGTGAATGTGCAGGAGGGCCGCCCGCGGGGCCGACGCGCGGGGCGAGGCCCTCTCGGGGGCCCCCGCGGCGCCGGCGCCGCCCTGGGGCGCCCCGATGGGCCGGGGCGGCGGCCGTGGCAGGCGGCGCTGGTGCCGGGGCGACGACGGCGTCAGCTCGGGGCCAGGGGGCCGCCCCCCCGCTGCCGCCGATGGTAGATCAGGCCCTGGGGCCCCGCGCCGCCTCCACTGGGCGAGCCGCGGCGGAATTCCATTCTGCCCCTCGGGGCGGGGGCCCCTCCGCGCGGCCGCGCGGGCGGCCGCTTGCGACGGCCAATGGCGGGGGGCGTCGCCGAGCGCCCCGGCGGAAGGGGGGTGCCGGCGGCAGAGAGACGGGCTGGGAAGGCGCCGAGTGCTGGCCGCAGGCCAGGGGCCATGGCAGGAGACAGCCGAGGCGCAGGCGGCTGAAAGTTTTCCACCCCTCCGCGTGGCAAAGGCTTCGGGCAGACGTTGCAGCCTGCGTGCGCCGCCGCAGAATCCCAGCGCGCTTGTGCGAGGTGGACGTGGCCTGGTCAGACAACGCCGACTCTTCCCACGCGGCGCTGCAGGGCGTGCCAGTGGTCTCGCCGTCTTGTATTTTTTCGTGTTCCGCGCCCGCTGCGATCAGCGCGGCGCCCATGCGTCTTGCGCCGCCCGCCTGGAAGGCCGCGAGAAGTTGAAGTGCGGGGCGTCCAACTAGCTCGCCGACTTCGCCCTCCGCGCGTTGGGGGCCCAGCTGACGAGCAGCGGACGCGCGTCCGGCCTTCTGGGGCAGCCCTAGGATTTCAGTGCCATCCGAACAGGCGCCCTTCGCGGGCAGCGACCCTCCAGTATGCGGCATCTGCCAGAGGTGCGCGGGCCCCTCGACCTGGGCGCAGCGCGCGCCGCGGCCCTCCGCTGGAGCCGCTTCGGCGCGCCGTGCCCGAAGGCGATGCGCCTTATCGGTCGGTTCCCAGGGTTGACCGCCAATCGACGGCTTCGCGACGCGAGCCCTCAGTTCGACGCGGAAGGCGCGCGCGCGGGGCCGCCGCCGCCGCCCCCGACAGGGCTCGCGCCATTGTTTCGCAGGAGGGGCGACGCGACGTTCAAGACCGCAGGCGCGGCGGCCCCCGCTGCGGCGCGAGTGGGCGGCGCAGGACATCGGCGAACTGGCCGAGAGGCTCGCGGCCCACAAGGGGGGCGGAGATCCCGCGCGGGGCCGCTCGGCGGGCCCGAATATGGCGCTGGGCGGTGACTCGAGGGCGCCAGGGGGGTCGGCGGTCTGCTCGGCGAAGGCGACATCTTCGTCGGCAGGGGCGACGGCTAGGGCCCGCCGGGCAAGCGAGGCAACCCCGCTCCGTCGAGCGCCGCGGCAGGGAGGGGGCCATCACGTCTATCGCGAATTGGCCGCCGTCGCGGTCAGACCTGATCGGGGCGCTTTCGGAACGCGACAGCAGCGCCTTCAGTCAGTTGCCGCTGCTACCCGCGGTCAATTTGCTGCGCGGGCGCCGCCATCGCGGCGCGGCTTGCTGAGAAGGAGCGGGTGCCCTCGTGGCCCCCCCCCGCCGATTTGGAGGCGCGGGGTCGCCGCGCTGCTGCGAGGGCGTCGAGGGCCCTTCCACGGCGGCGCGGGCCTCGCGTCGCCTGGCTGAAGCGGCCCAGACCCCCGGAAGTTCCTGGACTGGCGCGACTTGAGGACCGAGCTCTTCGTGGAGATTTTGCAGGCCCTGGGGGGCCGGGAAGCCGCGGGGCGCGCGCCGTGCGAGATGGCGGCGCAGGCGCGCCTTGCCGCGGCCGGCCCGCGCGAGCCGCCCTACCTCGTGAAGAAGGTCTGCGAGGTAGCGAGGGGGTCCTCGTGGGCTGGCTGGGGGCCGCAGGGCGAGCTGGTTGCGGCGTCGACCTGGGCTACGTCGCAGCGGGGCAGCCTGTCCGCCTCCGCTTGCTGGCCGCCCTCCTACCCGAAGCGGCGGGGGCCCGGGCGCGTTTTCCGCTTCTGAAGGTGCAGCTGCTGTTTGTGTTTTACAATGTTTCTTTGCATCCCGATGGTGAGGACCTGGTGGAACGCAGTGCTCTGGACCTCCCGAGGCTGAAACGCTGCCTGCGTTTTTGCAAGTCATCGCGCTGCGGATGCTACACATAGGGAAAGCAAACTAATGCATGCAATGCCATTTCATTGTCATGTATTATTTCTTCTCTCCTGGTGTCCTCTTAATACGTCCACGGCCGACATCTACCTGTTAAGCTTCTACGCAAGGAACCCTGTTGACATCTTTAGAGCATGAATTCTGTTAAGCTTCTTTAGAGCATGAATTCTGTTGACATCTTTAACAGCAGAATTTCTGTTCGAATCCTCCACGTGGCGAGTCCCATTGCAATCGTGGCGCAAAAGGAGCCACTTGTGGTCTCCCGCCAAAGAGTCATGTTGCAATCCTGTGTGCAACAGTTCCTACTGCGATGCACAACACGGTGGAGTGCTCTTTCATTGTCCTTCGCTTACCTTGAACCCTGTTTGTGCCGGGGCATTTGTTTACCCCCCCGCCAGGGTTTATCAACTCCCGTGGGCTAGCCTTTTAATATATGTGACTTCATTTGGAGTTTGAAATCTTACGATCCCATGGGGCCCTCTATCGCCCCCTCTCATCCCTGTTGAATAATCCTTTGCGCGCGCATTCGATTATCAATAACCGCAAGGTCTCCCTCATCACTCGCACAGACTGCGACAAAGTCCACGCGCGCGCATCGTCGCTCCTGTTAAGATCCTTCCAAAGCCTTGAGTTCTGTACTGGCTTCAGGATCGAAGATCCCAGAACCAAATCAGTAATCGCGTCCTTGCACCCTTCGGTGTTGGAGAAAAATGCCCGCGCGCTCCTGCGATTGCTGAGGGAAACCGTTCGGTTCTCAACGTTTCCGTCTCATGAGCCCACGCGGGCACCTCGCGCGCGCATGTCGAAGTCATTCGAGCGCCGTAGCGCGCTTGCTGGTGGCGCGCGGTCCTCGTCAAATCACACCATGCGGGCCATTCGCGCGCCTTGGCCACGCGCGCATGCCGAAATCTTGCCGCATCTTTCATCCGCGACACGTGGATATCGTCGTCGTCACCGACGTGACCAGCATCGTCGCCGTCATTGGCCTTGCTGTTGTCGTCGCCATCATTGTCGCCAGCCATTGCTATTATCATGTTCGTTGCCGCCGTTGCCGACGTCGCCATGATACCGCGCCCGCTCGAGTCACCGACCCGCGCTGAAGTGCCTGCGCGCCGGCGCGGCTTGTGAGATGCGCTGGGGAATTCATTATCGCCATCGCGGCCATGCCGGCCATGCCAAGCCAGCTGGTCGCCCTGGGCGCGAACATGCGTGCATTAACGCGGCCGCAGAGATGCGTCAGCCAGCGTCGAACAGTCATCGCAATCGCCGCCGCATGGGTTCTGCAAACCAAGTTGCGGGTGGGTGGGTGGGTGGGATGATTCCGCGAGCAGTGGAGTTTTTAACCCCTAATTGTTCAGCATTAGATGTGCCATATCGATTGCACCACGCAGATTGCACAACGGATACTGCATAACATTGATTGTACCTATACGACCACCCTTCGGGTGATAAGGAGGTTCGGGGGGGGGAGGGACCAACGTCTCACTCGATCGGTCTCACTATCGATCTCACTATCGATCTCACTATCGGTCTCGCTCGATCGATCTCACTCGATCGATCTCACCTTCGATCTCACTCGATGTATCTCATTCGATCGATCTCACAATTGATCTGACTATCGATCGCATAATCGACCTCGCAATCGATCTCGCGATCGATCTCACATTCGGTCTCACGATCGATCTCACTATCGATATCACAATCGATCTCACAATCAACGTCATATCGTCATCATCATCACCACCATCATCATCAACATCATCATCATCGGGACACCGTCACCATCATCAACATAATCATCATCAACGTCATCAGCATCATCAACATCATCAGCATCGGGACACCATCATCATCATCACCCTCATCATCTCATCTTAATCATCATCGGGACACAGTCACCGTCATCATCATCAGCATCATCATCATTATCATCTTCAGCATCTTCATCATCGGGACACCATCATGATCACCATCGTTTTCATCATCAACATCATAATCAACATCATTATCATCATCGGGACACCATCATCACCGTCATCATCTCATCATCATCATCGACATCACCATCATCATCATCATCGGGGCACCATCTTCATCATTAACAACATCATCGTCATCATCATCAGCATCATCATCATTTGGTCACCATCATCATCACCATCATAATCCTCACCATCATAATCATCATCATCATCAGCATCGGGACACCATCAGCATCAACATCATAATCAGCATCAGCATCATCATAATCACCATCATCATCGGGACACCATCATCATCATCAACATCATCATAATCATCATCATCATCATCGGGACACCATCATCGTCATCATCATCATCAACATAAATATCATTGCCATCATCGTCCTCATCATCGGGACACCATCATCATCATCGACATCATAATCAACATCATCATCATGATCGGGACACCGTCCTCATCATCTCATCATCATCATCATAATCATCATCATCATCATCATCAACATCAACATCAACATCAATATCAACATCAACATCAACATCATCATCATCATCATCACCAACATCAGCATCATCATCATCATCACCATCATCATCATCATCATCACCATCATCATCATCATCATCATCATCATCATCATCATCATAATCATCCACGTCATCATCGGGACACCGACGGGACACCGAAGGGACACCAGCGGGACACCGGCGGGACACCGCGGGCCACGGGCCGCCCGGAAGGGAGTCATTTGGTCCGGCCGCGCCTCAGCCACACGGGACACCAGCGGGACACCGGCGGGACACCGCGGGCCACGGGCCGCCCTCAAGGGAGTCATTTGGTCCGGCCGCGCCTCAGCCACAGGAGATTTTCTCTCGCCCGCCCGCGCAGCTTCGCCTCGCCCGCACGGCACGCACGAACACGAAACCGAAATCGATTTCCCGGTAGGGGGGCTCTCCGTTCCACTTCGATCTCACCCCCCAACCTCCGACCATAAGGGGTGCACCTTATAGACTGCATCGCGTACATAGCTTCACATATATTGCACAGTGTGAGTGGTGCCACACAGATTGCACAACACAGATTGCGCACAACAGGGTGCGTAAAATTGATTGGATTACGTAAGTTGCATCATGCACAACATCAGCTGCGCAACGTCGTCTGCTAGAACTACATTGTTTTGGGGTCCATGCTGGCGTTTTTTTGTGGTGTTTGCAGAACGGGTAGATGCCAGGCATGTGTTGGCGGCGTTCCCCGTGGTTCTGTGGTCCTGCTTCCTTACGGTGAGCTCCTCGGGTTGCTTGGCTTTGTTTCTTTACTCTGCGTTCCTCGGGTTGCTTGATGTTGTATCTTTCGTGTTTTGTTTGAGGAGGCCTCGCCAAAAACAAACAGTTCCAAACAATGCCAGGTACCGCCAGTCGGTGGCATGCGATCTCAATCACCACCCAGCAACGCCAAATAATACCAAGCAGCGCCAACCAATGCCAAGCAACGCCGATCACCGCCAAACAATGCCGAGCAACGCCGAGCAACGCCAAGCAACGTCAGTCAACTCCAAACAGTGCCGGACAACGCCAAACAATGTTGTTTAATGCAAGTGCACGAGGGATATTCTCCTTAATCGGGGCCGCGCACGGGGTAGTAGTTTTTGTTCCCACATCTGACTGGGCCCAAGCACTGTCCGACCATGTTGCGCAGAGCATTAGCTCGCCCTGGCAGATCGAATCCTCAGTTTCCGCGCGCGCTCCTTCCCAGCAGACCGCAGGATTACAAGGCCGAGTCCTTCCTGCTCTTTCCGCTCCTCCCATTTCTGCTCATGCTGCTGATGTTGCTCTTCGTCCTCCTCTTTCCACCTTTCTCCTCCTCCTCTTCCTCCTGCTCATCCTCCTGCTCATCCGCCACCCTTTTTCCAATGCTCGCAGCTCCCTTTTCTGATTGCGCATAGCCCGATTGGGTCCTTTGCGGGTTCTAGGTTCGCTATGAACGCCCATTGGCGGACGGAAAAAACACTCAGCGCAGCTGCTGTTTCTTGGCTTGGGTTAGAGTCACACGAGCATTTTCCAGGCAGCGACGGGACCGAACGGGGGCCCGAACAAAGGCGAACGAGCGAGGGCAAAAAGCAAAGCAACGCAATGGAAGCGGATGATTGGCAAGAGCAGGGTGTCAGG